CTGCTCCGAACCTCTCGCAGTCAATCCTGTCCGCTTAGCAGCATGCCGCTGTTCTCCGTGTACTTCACTACAGGATTGAGGAGCAGAACCAGATGGAGACGACTTCCTTGGCAGGCAAGTTCCAGGTAACACAGGCCAATCGGATATGGACAAATGACAAGGCAGGCAAACACTGACCAGTTATTGCACTATTTTGACAAAATAACCATTTATAATGCATTTACAAAATATTAACTGTTAATAACACCCTTTACAAATGGAACCTTATTGTAAAGTGTTACCAAAGAAGGTAAACAAAAATAAACCAGGAGATGGTGAGGCAACTGTAACCAATACATCTGTGATAGATTGTAAGGTGCCTATCAAGGTTGCTACAATATTAAAGATCCTGAGCATTAAAATATTTTCTTTCACGTTTTTTTGCCGCCACCGCGTTCTATTTTTCAGCATTTCATTGTACAGTAACTGATCACGGCCTATCTGACATTGAAGATAGATTAAACTGCACTCGCGCTGCCTTGACTTAAACATAAAAAATTAAAAGAATTGCATCCGACATTCTGTAGGGTAAGTGTGAGGCAATATTAGTCGGGCAACAGTCATTCTCAATCTCCTAATATCACTGTAAAGTCATGGTCAAAAGTTGAGAATGACACAAATACTAACTTTCACAAAGTCTGCTGCCTCAGTTTTTATGATGGCAATTTGCATATACTCCAGAATGTCATGAAGAGTGATCAGATGAATTGCAATTAATTGCAAAATCCCTCTTTGCCATGAAAATGAACTTAATCCCCCCAAAAAACATTTCCACTGCATTTCAGCCCTGCCATCATGTCAGTGATTATCTCGTTAACACAGGTGAGAGTGTTGACGAGGACCAGGCTGGAGATCACTCTGTCATGCTGATTGAGTTAGAATAACAAACTGGAAGCTTTAAAAGGAGGGTGGTGCTTGAAATCATTGTTCTTCCTCTGTTAACCATGGTTACCTGCAAGGAAACGTGCCGTCATCATTGCTTTGCACAAAAAGGGCTTCACAGGGAAGGATATTGCTGCTAGTAAGATTCCACCTAAATCAACCATTTATCGGATCATCAAGAACTTCAAATGAGAGAGGTTCAATTGTTGTGAATAAGGCGTCAGGGCGCCCAAGAAAGTCCAGCAAGCGCCAGGACCGTCTCCTAAAGTTGATTCAGCTGCGGGATCGGGGCACCGCCAGTGCAGAGCTTGCTCAGGAATGGCAGCAGGCAGGTGTGAGTGAATCTGCACGCACAGTGAGGCGAAGACTTTTGGAGGATGGCCTGGTGTCAAGAAGGGCAGCAAAGAAGCCACTTATCTCCAGGAAAAACATCAGGGACAGACTGATATTCTGCAAAAGGTACAGGGATTGGACTGCTGTACTGGACTGGGGTAAAGTCATTTTCTCTGATGAATCCCCTTTCCGATTGTTTGGGGCATCCGGAAAACACCTTGTCCGGAGAAGACAAGGTGAGCGCTACCATCAGTCCTTTGTCATGCCAACAGTAAAGCATCCTGATACGATTCATGTGTGGGGTTGCGTCTCAGCCAAGGGAGTGGGCTCACTCACAATTTTGCCTAAGAACACAGCAATGAATAAAGAATGGTACCAACACATCCTTCGAGAGCAACTTCTCCCAACCATCCAAGAACAGTTTGGTGACGACCAATGCCTTTTCCAGCATGATGGAGCACCTTGCCATAAGGCAAAAGTCATAACTAAGTGGCTCGGGGAACAAAACATTGAAATGTTGGGTCCATGGCCAGGAAATTCCCCAGACCTTAATCCCATTGAGAACTTGTGGTCGATCCTCAAGAGGCGGGTGGACAAACAAAACCCACAAATTCTGACAAACTCCAAGCATTGATTATGCAAGAATGGGCTGCCATCAGTCAGGATGTGGCCCAGAAGTTAATTGACAGCATGCCAGGGCAGATTGCAGAGGTCTTGAAAAAGAAGGGTCAACACTGCAAATATTGACTCTTTGCATAAACTTAATGTAATTGTCAATAAAAACCTTTGACACTTATGGAATGCTTGTATTTATACTTCAGTATACCATAGTAACACCTGACAAAAATATATCATAACATAGAAGCAGCAAACTTTGTGAAGACCAATACTTGTGTCATTCTCAAAACTATTGGCCACGACTATTGTACACAATGAAATAAAACGCAATATACTCAAAAGGACATTTGTTTTTACACAGAAAATGTACACACTCAAAGTAAATCATACATATAAAAATAAATATTTGTAATAACTCAAATAGGGAATAAGGTAAAGATGAACACAACAGCTATCGCCTTGGGGCTGTTCCAGGATGTAGGATCAATGAGTTGGCCAGTGAACTGTACCACATCATCTTAAATAACTTATTTTCGAGAAATATACTTGAAATTGGCATGGTATAATTGACTCAACAAACAACAATGCATATTTAGGTTTAGCTTAAATCAGAAAATCAAGAGTTAATTTGACGGTTTATCAAAGTTAGCTGGCTTTCTGGAACACTCCACCCTCGTTGTGGTTGTTTGCAGGTAGGCCTAAATGCCTGCTGCTTTCTGGACAACAACCTCTTCTCAAACGGAAAAGTCTAAACAGGATCCAGGGACGTCCCAACTCGGATGTCAACCCATTGAATAAAAATGTTATTGTTAGGGTAGGGACGTCCCAAGGATCCCGGATAGCACTAACCATTCTCAATCTGGGTTGGTCCTGAATATGTGAATATTTACCCTGTGTTACATTATACTTAACAGTGGTAGGGCCAGTATCACTAGAGTTTCAGATGTTATTATAATGGCAACATTTTTATTTTTCAAACAAATTACAATTTCAAATGATCTATTATCAACTTGAAAATAAATGAAAAAATTAGAATGCACTGTGAGAACAAAAATAAATGAAATAGTAAGAAATATTAATTAAATGTACATCAGTAGAGTAAAAATAAAAATACAAATTAAATCAATATTTTCCAGCAGCTCCAAAGTAGTATGTGCCAAAACGGTTTGTGCAACTTGTCCATCACCTTTTCAACAATGAAGCAGCAGTGACACAAGACTTTGTGACCCATTTAAATGAGTTTTCTCCACATAGCGATAACGCACACTAGAAGTAAGAAGCAACATTAACACCTATTTACATAATTCAAAAGTTGTATTTTCCAGTTCCATCAGATCCTGGAGACAACCTGAACTAGTTACATTTTGTAGCAAATTGTACAATGAATTGAGTTGCAAGTCAGTAAGCTTTGTCTATGTTTATGTGGCATAATATTATGTATTTCACAGAATTGCTCAGGGAATAGTCAATTTACACATACAATCTACTGTGAATTCAAAGTTCCAATAAAATTACTTTTGGCAAAAACAAAAACATTATCAAGGACCAGCACCTGGAACAAAACATATCTGTTCTATTCACAATATTGTAGAGCATTCTATTTTAAGAAGCACTAACTCTAACTTAGTTTAGGGCTACAGTAAGTGCTTCCATTCATACCTGCATATCACATGCAGTATAGACATTTTGTCTCAAATTACAGTAACATTGCAGGTAGCTGAAAGATTTGACGGAGTTCAGATATTGTATGAATAAACACAGAGGAACAAACAACATTTCATAAAACCAGAATACAGATTCGCAAATGTGTGACTCAATTAGCAAATGCTATTTACTCAATCATGTCACCAAATCTATCGGACAAGTTTCTATCCAATGTTTCTATTGAATGCATCAAATAAATCAATTTTAAGTAAAGAAATAAGCTTTTCAAAGGCAATGAACAATAATGTACGGGCAGATAAACCATCAGATCATCTGATATTAACACAAATACATTTGAGTAAGATTGGGTGTCAGTTTGGTGTGTGTAATGCACTCTGACCATCTCCACTCTTCTGGGAAGGCTTTCCACTAGATGTTGGGACTTGCTTCCATTTAGCCACAAGAGCATTAATGAGGTCGGGCCCTGATGTTGGGCGATTAGTCCAGGCTCGCAGTCAGCTTTCCAATTCATCCCAAAGGTGTTCGATTGGGTTGAGGTCAGGGCTCTGTGCAGGCCAGTCAAGTTCTTCCACACTGATCTCGACAAACCATTTCTGTATGGACCTCGCTTTGTGCACGGGGGCATTGTCATGCTGAAACAGGAAAGGGCCTTCCCCAAACTTATGCCACAAAGTTGGAACCACAGAATCATCTAGAATGTCACTGTATGCTGTAGCGTTAAGATTTCCCTTTACTGGAACTAAGGGGCCTAGCCCGAACCATGAAGAACAGCCCTAGACCACTATTCCTCCTCCTCCAAACTTTACAGTTGGCACTATGCATTGGGGGAGGTAGTGTTCTCCTGGCATCCGCCAAACCCAGATTTGTCCGTCGGACTGCCAGATGGTGAAGCGTGATTCATCACTCCAGAGAACGCATTTCCACTGCTCCAGAGTCCAATGGCGGCGAGCTTTACAAAACTCCAGCCGATGCTTGGCATTGTGCATGGTGATCTTAAGCTTTTGTGCGGCTGCTCGGCCATGGAAACCCATTTCATTAAGCTCCCGACGAACAGTTATTGTGTTGACGTTGCTTCCAGAGGCAGTTTGGAACTCGGTAGTGAGTGTTGCAACAGAGGATTTTTACGCACTACGCGCTTCAGCACTCAGCGGTCCTGTTCTGTGAGCTTGTGTGGCCTACCACTTTGCGGCTGAGCCATTGTTGCTCCTAGACGTTTCCACTTCACAATAACAGCACTTACAGTTGACCGGGGCAGCTCTAGCAGGGCAGAAATGTGATGAAATTACTTGTTGGAAAGGTGGCATCCTATGACGGTGCCACGTTGAAAGTCACTGAGCTCTTCAGTAAGGCCATTCCACTACCAATCTATGGAGATTGCATGGCTGTGTGCTTGATTTTATACACCTGTCAGCAACGAGTGTGGCTGAAATAGCCGAATCCACTAATTTGAAGGGGTGTCCACATACTTTTGTATATATAGTGTATTATACCACATACTATCTTGACTAGAATGAATGATGAAATCACATTAAGGCCACCTAGGGTCTGGGACACAGTTCAGTGAATACAGAGGACTTCAAATGTACACCAAGTATTTAGACAACAAGCACTTGGGTAAAATAAGGCTGTACTTGCTCCTCTCTTTGTCATGGTTATGGACTGACATTAATAGGTTGTAATAAGTGATCGACTTGATACGTCTGGAAAATAATAAATTCAGGCTGAAATCATAAATTCACACTAAGATTTTAGTAGTGGTCAATACAAATATTCCAGAGGTTCACCTTAGTCCATCAAAACATGACCAATACCGTTGAATTCCATAGAAAGATACAAAAATAATTAAAAAAAAAAAACATTTGATTAATTGGACTTTCATGGTTTTATCCTAAAATATTTTTCCTTACCATCATAGCTTAGAAACATTGTATTGGGCATGAAAAGTGTACAGTCAAGTCCCTTCCCCATGACAATGTTATGGGGTTCTGATATGGGACTAAAACTGTTTCAACCTGTCTCTATTGTAAAATACTTCATCTGGAGACTGTTTCTTCACAGCAAATATTATACAAAACATAAACAAATAAATACAAAAATGTGACCTTCTAATCTACATTTAAAAAGGAAAACTCAATTCCCCCCCAAAACTCTTTGCTCAGTCAGTTCTCTATGACCTCTGCAAATGTGCAGACCTGGACCAGTGGACTGCTACACATGTGGACGATTGTAGCGGATCTTCCACCTTTTGGAGCGGACACGGAAAAAGAAGAACATGACCATGAGAAAGACACAGGAGAAAGCGTAGAGCACCACGCACAGACTCATGTCCACACTGGAGAAGCCTAGACCCAGGAAGCTCACCCCCGGCCTGGTCTCCTTGTGGGCCCCTGTGCCCGCCTGCCCTGCTCCCTCCACGTCACTCTGCTTGACATGGTTGGCATGGAGTAGGGAGCTCTCAGGGGCCACTGTCTTTTCCTGTGTGGCTTTAATGGGCTTGTTGTCAGGAGCTCCGAGGGCCTCCTGGTTTGGCTCAGGCTGACTGCTGTACATGTGTTTGGGGGAGATGTTGGCGGCCCCGTAGTGCTGCTTGAGGAACATAAGCACCTTGTCTTCGTTCCACACGTGGATGCCATCCTGCTCCTCGTGGCAGGTGGGGCAGAGGTCCGGGCTGGGCCACTGGGTCTTGGGGAAGTGAGGGTCTTCACTCATTGTCCCTACAGAGAGGACAGAGGGTGAATAACATAGGAGAAATGGGCCAACAATAACTTGACCCTGTGTTATTCCTAAGTCAAGACCAGTCGTTTTGACCTGCCTACTCAACTCTAACACACGTTGCTTACAAACTTATACCACAGTATATATCTACTATACGGAATATTTACTTCAAATGACAGTATATTCTCTAGGTTAGGTTTGAGATCGCAAACTATGCCGATTTAGAGGTCGGTTCCCCACCTGCGAGGCGTCCATTGACCTGGTTGTGTTTCCTCCAGAGCCACAGTACCGCCTGGTCCACAGACTTCACCTGGGGCAGAGACTCCACAGCCATTTCCTCAAAGTGCTTGCCACACTCCTGGCAGCCGAAGAAGTTCACAATGTACCTGCGCATTGTCTGCAGCACTGCCTTGGGATTCTCCTCCAGGCCTGGTGGGACAGAAGGGAGATGGTCAGGGGAACGAGAGAGAAGCACAGTCAATTTCTTGACAAGGCACACATTTCATAATCAAACCACAGTTGTGATATTCATGATGATACCAATCGTGATGTTGCCATCTATTTTCGAAGGTGTGCAGTATCGCTATGACATGGCTGCATGTATGTGCGTGCGTACGTACTGGTGTTGGCCAATGCGTCGGGCCGGCTGGCCGCCTGGACGGTCAGCACATGGAACAGGGTCCACAGTGAACAGGGGTAGCCCCTCAGCCCGACTCTGCTTCCCTGGCAACCCACCCACTGCAGCTGGTCGCTTAGGAACATCCCTGAAATCTGAAGGTGGTCAGGGAGAGAGTCAGAAAAACTCACTACTAAGCCACAGAGTAGATCAGGGGTGTTATGGTTCACTGGACTGAACCAAACTGGTCTGTCACAAGCTGTCGGTTCGGACCAAGGTTTTTCCATTACATTTTGATGGCTGAAATTATAACATCTACCACATACTGTCATATTAAGGCTGTAACGATATGTGTATCTGAACAGGACCGTCTAGTATGGGCCCTCGGTTCACGGGATGTGGTACGCATGAGGTGAACCACACTACATTCTTGAACACAATGTGCCTATTAGGAACATAACAAATATTTCTGCCAAGGCGCATGTACTACAGCTGTCCACATTACGTTTTTCTCAGCCAACAAGATGAGTGATGGTACAGAACAGCAAAATCAGAAAAGCCCAGAGTGGCTAAACTATTTTATTGGTATTCCTCCGGAGGCGCTTTCAAGTTGCGAGTCCCACAGGGAGAGAAACATGCATTCTGATAAGCCCAGTTATTGCACAACATTTCTAAACGCAATCGTGGGGAAAAACACAGCTGAATATAAAGAGAGAGCAAGTCAATTTATGAGACGCACTTGACGCCAATGTACTTAAACTATTCCAGTAGATATTGAAATTAGGCCAGTAGATTTTGGGCCAGTGAGAAAAAAAGTTAACATTGACCTAGTTGGGCGATATGGACAAAAAGTCATATTGCAATATACAGTGCATTCGGAAAGTATTCAGACCCCTTGACTTTTTCCACATTTTGTTACGCTACAGCCTTATTCTAAAATGGATTCAATTGTTTTTCCCCCCCCCCTCAATCTATACACAATACCCCATAACGACATACTAAGACAGGTTTTTAGACTTTTTAGCTGAAATATCACATTTACATAAGTATTCAGACCCTTTACTTTGTACTTTGTTGAAGAACCTTTGGCAGCGATTACAGCCTTGAGTCGTCTTGGGTTTGTCGCCACAAGCTTGGCACACCTGTATTGGGGAGTTTCACCCATTCTTCTCTGCAGATCCTCTCAAACTCTGTCAGGTTGGATGGAGAGGGTCGCTGCAAAGCTATTTTCAGGTCTCTCCAGAGATGTTCGATCAGGTTCAAGTCAGGGCTCTGGCTAGCCCACTCAAGGACAAAAATGTCTGCATCAATGAAGGTCCCCAAGAACACAGTGGCCTCCATCATTCTTAAATGGAAGAAGTTTGGAACCACCAACAATATTCCTAGTGCTGGCCGCCCGGCTAAACTGAGCAATCTGGGGAGAAGTGCCTTGGTCAGGGAGATGGCCAAGAACCCGATGGTCACTCTGACTGAGCTCAAGAGTTCCTCTGTGGATATGGGAGAACCTTCCAGAAGGACAACCATCTCTGCAGCACTCCACCAATCAGGCCTTTATGGTAGTGGCCAGACGGAAGCCACTCTTCAGTAAAAGGCACGAAAGCCCGCTTGGAGTTTGCCAAAAGGCACCTAATGGACTCTCAGACCATGAGAAACAAGATTCTCTGGTCTGATGAAATCAAGATTGAACTCTTTGGCCTGAATGCCAAGCGTCACATCTGGAGGAAACCTGTCACCATCCCTACGGTGAAGCATGGTGGTGGCAGCATCATGCTGTGGGGATGTTTTTCAGCGGCAGGGACTGGGAGACTAGTCAGGATCGAGGGAAAGATGAATGGCGCAAAGTACAGAGAGATCCTTGATGAAAACCTTCTCCAAAGCGCTCAGGACCTCAGACTGGGGCGACGGTTCACCTTCCAACATGACAATGACCCTAAGCACATAGCCAAGACAACGCAGGAGTGGCTCCGGGACAAGTCTCTGAATGTCCTTGAGTGGCCCAGCCAGAGCCCGGACTTGAACCCGATCGAACATCTCTGGAGAGACCTGAAAATATCTGTGCAGTGACGCTCCCCATCCAATCAATCAATCAAATATATTTATAAAGCCTTTTTTTTTTTACATCAGCAGATGTCACAAATTGCTATACAGAAACCCAGCCTAAAACCACAAACAGCAAGCAATGCAGATGTTGAAGCACAGTGGCTAGGAAAAACTCCCTAGAAAGGCAGGAACCTAGAAAGAAACCTAAAGAGGAACCAGGCTCTGAGGGGTTGCCAGTCCTCTTCTGGCTGTGCCAGGTGGAGATTAAAAGAGTACATGGCCATTTAAGGCAAGATTGTTCTTCAAGATGTTCAAATGTTCAACCTGACAGAGCTTGAGAGGATCTGCAGAGAAGAATGGGAGAAACACCCTAAATACAGGTGTGCCAAGCTTGTAGCGTCATATCCAAGAAAACTCTAAGCGCTGTCAAAGGTGCCTCAACAAAGTACTGAGTAAAGGGTTTGAATACTTATGTAAATGTAATATCAGTTTTATATTTTTTATACATTTGCAAACATTTCTAAAAACCTGTTTTTGCTTAGTCATTATGGGGTATTGTGCGTAGATTAGAATAAGGCTGTAACGTAACAAAATGTGGAAAAAGTCAAGTGGTCTGAATACTTTCCGAATGCACTGTATATACCGTATACCGGGGTATTTGGAAAAATCCACAGGATGGTTTTTCAATACCGTTGAAACTATTTATTTGACATTTTTGTATACATTTGAATATTTGTAGCTACTTTTTAAGTAAATACCTGCAGTCAACTTGTGAAATTCGTTAGGAGATAAAGAACATTGTTTTCTTCATTTCACCTGTCACATTATTATGAAGCTTACGGTAGTCCCCAGTTACGTGGTGTTTGTTTACAAGCAGACAACAACGAGAGACAGGAGCCTTGTGAGTCACTCACTGTTGTGCAGCATGCGCCAGGTGATCTAATTACAGTTTGGAATTCACAACTAAATGTTTGCCAGCTAGATATCTTCTAACTATTAAGTTTACTGTCTAAAATGTGATAAATGCTCTGCAGTTGTGCATTTGGTCCACGCCGTAAACGAAGCACCACTGCTGTAAACAATCCTATGGTAAACACTGCAGTCAACAGATCTGCCCTCTTAGAAGAGAATGTGGACAGTCTTGTCTTTTTGAAAAATAACTTATAAACAGAAAGTCACTGAATACAAGCTGAAGCTGAGAAGGCCTATGTGCTGCGGATTTCATTTGATTGTGGTGTACTGCAGTTAAATGCACGTTGTCATTATTATTTTTTTATCCCTCCTTCTGGACCGAAACCCTCCACAGAACAGTGACCCAAAAACAGAGTTACATATAGAATCATTGATTTAGTGAACTGTTGCACCCCCTACTAATTGTGTGGCGGCCTACAAGAACCCGTCGGATGTCGCGGCCACTCATTGTTGGCAAAACCCAAAATTCTATGAAAATGTGTTTTTGAGGAAATTGAGTTTTGGATACTTTAACCCCCTGTACTTTATTGTAATGTAAAAATATTGTATGATTCTAGAAAGTAAATAGTTAATTTCCACTTTATTTTTAATTTTTTACATGTTAGCTAGCATGTCCAATGTGAAAATGCTAGCTCAAACTTCCCCTGGTGAGTGTTGCAGCTGACTTGGCCCATTCAAGATAACATGCTACAGATCAATGAAATCAGGCTGGTTTATACACAAAATAATTAGCTAGCTAGTTAGTAGTGTAGTAGTATAAAGTTGTAATTTACAATTAACATTGTAGTTATAAATACAAGTGGGGCAGATTTTCATATTGTCAACAAGTAGCCATATGCAGGAGCTAACATTAATCGATTCATAAAAGAGGTTCACACTTTCTACCGATGTTGCATGATCAGTGGTTATTAACTGGCCAAAATGACATGAAAAGTGATCAAAATATATGAAGAGTATTGCAGTAATTTCACCAGTTCATTTTATTTAGATTTTAGGTAGCAAAGCAATCGATATACTATCCTTAACTTGTTGGAAGCGAGAGGCATCGTGCTGTCATTCATTATAAAAATAAGCCCTGGCCACTTAACCTTCACTCCCCTCAAAATATATAAAAGCATTGGAAAGGTGTAGATGAGAGCATTTATTTTTATTTTTTATTAGTCATAAATAAAAGTGCTGAAAACATTTTGGCACACTATTTAAAAAGAACATTGAGAACAAGCTATAGGATGAAAAATACCGGAGTTTTGGCGCAGGTACAGCCGATGAGCACTAGCTAATGCTACCTAGCAAAAAAATAATATTTTTTTTTACAAATTCGATACCTGGAGTCAAAGTATTGACAGAATATCGTCCAAAATAATATTACGATATGTAACTATCGATTTTTTCCCTAGCTTGTGTGTAGTGTGCACCCTTGAGCTTGTGTCTAACCACTGGTCTCCCTCCCCCCACCGCTATATTTTGGGGGAAAGGCTGCTGGTCATATGAGCGTTTAAAAATGCCTTTATTTTGTCCAGTAAGAATTTAAATCTTGGCCACTGATTTGAATGGCTTGGTGGCCCGAAGTACCAGGGCAAATTTGTCTTCATGTCTACCACTGCAATACAGAAATACTTTGTTTACAAACGATGGAGAAAAACGTTAACTACTTTTATTAGACTCATTTTTGTCGTAGTTTTTTCCCTCCTAAACTAAAACCGAATGAGAACCAAAAATCAAGGGACAAACCGAAAATGTTGTGAACCGTTCGTTACATCTGTTGTTTAAAAGGATAGTTTAACTAATTTGACTTCCCTAGTCTGTGGTTGTTTCCTCCAAACTGTTTCTAAATTTGATTACTGGTTACTTAGCAATGTTAAGAATAATCTGGCTAGCATTTTTGGTGAAAGTACCAGCGCTAGTGGAAATGGATTGTTTCCATTAGAAATGTATTCAAAAACTTGGGAAAGTACACCCCTTCTGCAAAAAGGGCCACCCTTCCCCACGCTTTCTGTATGACCCTTTAAACTATGCTAAACAGTTATTTTATTTGAGTTATTTGAGCACTTGATAATGAAATATCACACAAAATGCCTCCCTTACTCGCATCTTGTTGTTGACCAAGTCAAGGATGGCATCAAATGGGATTTTCTCCAGGGGAAGACTGACCAGCCACTCCAGAAGAGTCTCTAAGAGTTTTACCACAGACTGGCGACCGGGAAAGAGCTGGGATTCAAGAATCAAAGAAAAGACAGACTAAATGTTACTTCTCTAATAGAAACAAGAGGGCAAATATTGTTTACTTGTTTGTGCGGACCCACTTCAGCCTTAGGGCACTTCTACCTTAGCGACCACTGTCACAAAGTCTTTGAAGGTCTTGAGCTCTTCTCCCTCCAGGGTTTGGTGGGTAGCCAGCTCTACCCTCAGCAGGTAGTGCAACCCTGACTCAAGGTCTGCCATGTACACCTTAGACCTGGAGAAAATCAGGGCGGTAGGTAGCCTAGCGGTTAAGAGCATTGGACCAGTAACCGAAAGGTTATGCATATATAAGATACTGTGTTAGCATCAGACTCACTTCTCAAAGTCCTTCCAGGCCTCAGCCGTCCCGGGACCTCGTGGCCCATCCAGTAGGGGCTCCTGGGGTGCTCCAGTAGTGCTTAGCTTTCTGTGGACCCCTAGGAGAAGCTTGAGGAACGAGGAAAAGAAGAAGCGCAGTCTTTTCCGCCTGGTGATACAGAAACATCAGAGCAACATTTTAAATGCCTGGATTTATACAACAGACTATATAAAGAAGCCAAACATTTCACTGACAGTTGGGATTAAATATTTTGAGAAAATAATGATTACATGTAAAAAAACAAAAAAAAACAATGCTATATTCTGTGCGCATAGAACCCATTAAAATGGGATGCTACGCCAAATACAAAAACACATTTGTTAAGACTCCAACCTTTTGAACCAGAACTCTCTTCTAGTCCACACACACAACATCCTGGAGAAGTAAATATAATAGAGGTTGCCAACTCACACATCCAGAATGGCATGTGTTCCATTAGGGTGGAGAAGGTATGCTGAGGGGAAAGAGTTGATGCCAAGCTTCTCTGTGAGGCTCTTGTCTGAACTCAATACCCTCTTCACTGTCAGCCCTTGATACATCATCAGGTCCAAGATAACCTATAGAACAGTTGACATTACTTTATACACTCCCGGTCAAAGGTTTTAGAACACCTACTCATTCAAGTATTTTTTTTTTTTTTTTTTACTATTTTCTACATTGTAGAATAATAGTGAAGACATCACAACTATGAAATAACAAAATCATGTAGTAACCAAAAAAGTGTTAAACAAATCAAAATATATTTTATATTTGAGATTCTTCAAAGTAGCCACCCTTTGCCTTGAAAGCTTTGCACACTCTTGGCATTCTCTCAACCAGCTTCACCTGGAATGCTTTTCCAACAGTCTTGAAGGAGTTCCCACATATGCTGAGCACTTGTTGGCTGCTTTTCCTTCAGTCTGCGGTCCGACTCATCCCAAACCGTCTCAATTTGGTTGAGGTCGGAGGATTGTGGAGGCCAGGTCATCTGATGCAGCACTCCATCATTCCCCTACTTGGTCAAATAGCCCTTACACATCCTGGAGGTGTGATGGGTCATTGTCCTGTTGAAAACCAAATGATAGTCCCACTAAGCCCAAACCATGCTGGTTAAGTGTGCCTTGAATTCTAAATAACTCACAGACAATATCACTAGCAAAGCACCCCCACACCATAACACCTCCTCCATGCTTCACGGTGGGAAATACATATGCAGAGATCATCCATTCAGCCACACCGCGTCTCACAAAGACACGGTGGTTGGAACCAATAATCTCCAATTTGAACTCCAGATAAATTTCCACCGGTCTAATGTCCATTGATCGTGTTTCTTGGCCCAAGCAAGTCGTCTTCTTATTGGTGTCCTTTAGTAGTGGTTTCTTTGCAGCAATTTGACCATGAAGGCCTGATTGACACAGTCTACTCTGAAACTTTGATGTTGAGATGTGTCTGTTACTTGAACTCTGTGAAGCATTTATTTGGGCTGCAATTTTTGAGGCTGGTAACTCTAATTAACTTATCATCTGCAGCAGAGGTAACTCTGGGTCTTCCATTCCTATGGCGGTCCTCATGAGAGCCAGTTTCATCAGAGCGCTTGATGGTTTTTGCGACTGCACTTGAAGAAATGTTCAAAGTTCTTGAAATTTTCCGGATTGACTGACCTTCATGTCTTAAAGTAATGATGGACTGTCGTTTCTCTTTGCTTATTTGAGCTGTTCTTGCCATAATATGGACTTGGTCTTTTACCAAACAGGGCTATCTTCTGTATACCCCCCCCAACCTTATCACAACACAACTGATTGGCTCAAACGCATTAAGAAAGAAAATCCCCAAATTAACTTTTAAGAAGTACATTCCAGGTGACTACCTCATGAAGCTGGTTGAGAGAATGCCAAGAGTGTGCAAGGCTGTCATCAAGGCAAAGGGTGGCTATTTTAAGAATCTCAAATATAAAATATATTTGGATTTGTTTAACACTCTTTTGGTTACTACATGATTCGATATGTTTTATTTCATAGTTTTAATGTCTTCACTATTATTCTACAATGTAGAAAATAATAAAAATTAAGAAAAACCCTTGAATGAGTAGGTGTGTCCAAACTTTTGACAGGTAGTGTATATATTTCAACTCCCACACATTAACCCTATAAAGCAGCATTTAAGTAAAAAAATTACTTAGTTGTTTTGAAGTCTGATAGTATATGAATACAATGAAAAGGTACAGTTCAGTTTTATTTGAATTCATCATACCTCTCTGCCAACATAGGAGTCCTCATTCTCAACAATGACAGCTGTGTATTGGTTGGATTTCTGACCCATCAAAGGCAATATATCTGCAGAGCTGAAAAGAGGAAATGGGACACAATCGATTTAATATGATAATCACCTGTATTGTGTGCCACTCCCTTTTCATTGAGCGATTCAAAAACAACCTGACAATAGCCCATATTAGCAGATGTATGGTAGAGTAAAAGGACAGAGGTTATTTAGCAAACCATGGCATAGGCTATTTGTTCTGGTCTCAAGACTGTATTGAAGCCCAAGGTGTGCCACTGGTCAAACCTGGAAGGCTCAAGTGGAGGGCAGCTGACAGGCCAGTCCTGTCTTGTGTGGTTCTGGAGGAAGTTGACCATCAGCTGTCGCACTGTCTGCAGCTCCCTATCTGCCCCTGGTGAGAGAGATGAGAGTAGAGCTGGGCGATATGGACAAAAAGTAATAGTGATAAATATAACTATTTTGCTCGATAACAATAAACAATGATAAAAAAATATATATGGACAGTTAGCCTACTTTATTTACATTAGCGGCAGGGCCATCCAAGATGGCGTAGCAGTGCGGTTGTGTTTTCTGTAGTGTCCTTGAGTAAATAGCCAGTTTTTTTTGTTTTTTGTCTATTTTGTTTTTTTATACGGTACCGCATCCTGTTTATGTTTAGCCTCAGCCCAAACTGTGTCGCCAATACCAGCTGTTGTCTTATCTCTCGAATAACACCTGTGATTGCTTTATGCCTCTCTCCCATGTCAATATGGTTTGCTCATTGCTGTTTCGTTTATTTCATATTGTACTATTTCACTGTAGAGCCCCCAGTCCAGCTCAACCTGCCTTAGATAGCTCCTTTGTCCCACCCCCCATACATGCGGAGACCGACTCAATCGGTGCCTCCAGTGATGCTCTCTCTTTCATCTTTACCCAACGCTTAGGTTTACCTCCACTGTACTCATATCCTTCCATATCCTTGTCTGTACATAATGCCCTGAATCTATTCTACAACACCCGGAAATCTGCCCCTTTTTTTCCTCTGTACCCAACGCACTAGAAAACCAGTTCTTAAAGCCTTTAGCCGTATCCTTATTCTACTACTCCTCTGTTCCCCTGGTGAAGTAGAGGTTAACCCAGGCCCTGTAGCCCCCAGTATCACTCCTACTCCCCAGGCGTTATCATTTGTTGACTTCTGTAACCGTAAAAACCTTGGTTTCTTGCACGTTAACATCAGAAGCCTCCTCCATAAGTTTGAGTTATTCACTGCGTTAGCACACTCCGCCAACCCTGATGTTCTAGCAGTGTCTGAATCCTGGCTTAGGAAGGCCACCAAAAATTCAGAAATGTCCATCCCAACTACAAAATTTTCCGTCTCGATAGAACTGCCAAAGGGTGTGGGGTTGCAATCTACTGTAGAGATAGCCTGCAGAGCTCTATCGTACTATCCAGGTCTGTGCCCAAACAGTTTGAGCTTCTACTTCTAAAAATCCACCTTTTCAGAAATAAAGTCTCTCACTGTTGCCGCTTGCTACAGACCCCCCTCAGCCCCCAGTTGTACCCTGGCCACCATATGTGAATTGCTTGCCCCCCATCTATCCTCAGAGTTCGTTCTGCTTGGTGACCTAAACTGGGATATGCTTAACACCCTGGCCAACCTACAATCTAAACTTGATGCCCTCAATCTCACACAAATTATCAACAAACCTACCAGGTACAACCCTAAATCTGTAAACATGGGCACCCTCATAGATATCATCCTGACAAATTTACCCTCTAAATACACCTCCGCTGTCTTCAACCAGGATCTCAGCGATCACTGCCTTATTGCCTGCGTCCAAAATGGGTCCGCTTAAGATTTTCGAAGACATTTGCATTTATGTCAGAGTGATTACAGGGACAATAGAGTTCTGAGTACCAGGCAGCAAGTTTGGTAGGCTACTAATGACCATCAGCAGCATCAGAGCTTGGAGAAACCTAATTAGAGTGACTAAACAGTCACATGGAATTTGACTGCCTTCATCACTCGTGACTGCTGGTGTGGTAGTAACACGGCCAATGAATATATAGCACAACTGTGGTCCTCCAGATGTGACGCTTGGCATTCAGGCCAAATAATTCAATATTGGTTTCATCAGACCAGAGAATCTTGTTTCTAATGGTCTGAGAGTCCTTTAGGTGCCTTTTGGCAAACTCCAAGCGGGCTGTCATGTGCCTTTTACTGAGGAGTGGCTTCCATCATCTGGCCACTCTTCCATAAAGGCCTGATTGGTGGAGTGCTGCAGAGATGATTTTCCTTCTGGAAGTTTATACCATCTCCACAGAGGAACTCTGGAGCTCTGTCAGAGTGACCACATTGGGGTTCTTGGTCACCTCCCTGACCAAGGCCCTTCTGCCCCCGACTTATCAGGTCGGCTGGGCGGCCAGCTCTAGGGAGAGTCTTGGAAGTTCCAAACTTCTTCCATTTAAGAATGATGGAGGCCAGTGTTCTTGGGGACCTTTAATGCTGCAGAAACGTTTTGATACCCTTCCCCAGAGCTGTGCCTCGCACAATACTGTCTCGGAGCTCTACGGACAATTCCTTCGATATCATGGCTTGGTTTTTGCTCTGACATGCACTGTCAACTGTGGGACAGGTGTGTACCTTTCCAAATCATGTCAAATCAATTGAATTTATCACAGGTGGACTCCAAGTTGTAGAACATCTCAAGGATGATCAATTGAAACCGGATGCACCTGAGCTCAATTTCGAGTCTCATAGCAAAGGGTCTGAAAACCTATGTAAATAAGGTATTTATTTAATAATAATAATTACAATTTGTTCATTAAAAACCTGTTTTCGCTTTGTCATTATGGGGTATTGTGTGTAGATTGATGAGGGGAAAAAACAATTTAATCCATTTCAGAAAAAGGCTGTAACATAACAAAATGTGGAAAAAGTGAAGGTCTGAATACTTTCCGAATGCACTGTATGTACTGAACTTGTTTGATGTTTTAAGCACACTGTTGGATTAAATAAGACACACAAATGACTCAAGTGGGAGCGAGAGATCAAGATAGCCTAACCAGAAGAAAAAATAACATTTTCCCGACCCTCCTCCCACTGCTGCTGGCCTTTGCAGAATCTGCCATTATTCTCCTGAAGTTGCCGGTAATAGGCTACACCAGCGGTCGGCAACCTTTTCCATTTGGAGTGCCAATTTATCTTACAATTTCTACTGATAATTCCACTGATAATTCCACATTCGCTTCCAGCATTTGAATGTAAAAAAAAGTATTTCCTGCACTAATGTGTTATCATTTACATACTGTGTCACATTTCTGTTGTCTTAGTATGCCGGTATTTAAAAACGTATAAATCTTTCACAATAATTATTCTCCTGACAGTGCATTTGTATTTATTATTTCACCACTAGAGGGCGAAAACAAATATGGGGGTCTGTACTCCCGAAGTTGTTAACTGTTTTTGTGCTTGTCAGTTAGCTAGCAATTCTCAGCTGTCAACAGCTAATGGCTAGCAGTTTCTTAAATGGGGATAAAAATGGATGATTGCGATTATTTTTTTCGAGTCATTACTGAATTGTTTAATGTAACAAATCAAACAAACCTTGTCAACAATTCATGGTAACCTCGTAAACAATTCATTTAGACACAGCACTTATTTGAAACAGGTGTTTGTTTTCTGAAATATGTGCCATTGCCCGGCTATTAAAAGGGACAGGCGGCTATTTGAGACTCGGCGTTTAATTGAAGTTTTATGGTATATACACTAAGTTTACAAAACATTAAGAATGCCTGCTCTTTTCAGAACATTGACTCACCAGGTGAATCCAACATGTAAAGTATTGGTCCCATGTTCCATGAGCTGAAATAAAAGGGTGAACAGGGAGTACAGGAGGGGACTGAGCACGCACCCCTGAGGGGTCCCCGTATTGAGGATCAGCGTGGCGGATGTGTTGTTACCTACCCTTACCGCCTGGGAGGCGGCCCGTCAGGAAGTCCAGGATCCAGTTGCAGAGGGAGGTGTTTAGTCCCAGGGTCCTTAGCTTAGTGATGAGCTTTGAGGGCACTATGGTGTTGAACGCTGAGCTGTAGTCAATGAATAGCATTGTCACATAGGTGTTCCTTTTGTCCAAGTGGGAAAGGGCAGTGTGGATTGCAATAGAGATTGCATCATCTGTGGATCTGTTGGGGCGGTACGCAAATTGGAGTGGGTCTAGGGTTTCCGGGATAATGGTGTTGATGTGAGCCATGACCAGCCTTTCAAAGCACTTCATGGCTTCGTCCGGAACAGCTGATACTCTCATGCATTATTCAGTGTTACTTGCCTCGAAGCGAGCATAGAAGTAATTTAGCTTGTCTGGTAGGCTTGTGTCACTGTGCAGCTCGCGGCTGTGCTTCCCTTTGTAGTCTGTAATAGTTTGCAAGTCCTGCCACATCTGACGAGCGTCGGAGCCGGTGTAGTACGATTCAATCTTAGTCCTGTATTGACGCGTCGCCTGTTTGATGGTTCGTCGGAGGGCATAGCGGGATTTCTTATAAGCTTCTGGGTTAGAGTCCCGCTCCTTGAAAGCGGCAGCCCTACCCTTTAGCTCAGTGCGGATGTTGCCTGTAATAAATGGCTTCTGGTTGGGGTATGTGCGTACAGTCACTGTAGGGACGAAGTCATTGATGCATGCTCAGTCCCCTCCTGTACTCCCTGTTCACTCATGACTGCATGGCCAGGCACGACTCCAACACCATCGTTAAGTTTGCAGATGACACAACAGTGGTAGGCCTGATCACCGACAACGACGAGACAGCCTATAGGGAGGAGGTCAGAGACCTGGCCGTGTGGTGCCAGGACAACAACCTCTCCCTCAACGTGATCAAGACAAAGGAGATGATTGTGGACTACAGGAAAAAGAAGAGGACCGAGCACGCCCCCATTCTCATTGACAGGGCTGTAGTGGAACAGGTTGAGAGCTTCAAATTCCTTAGTTTGTTGGTGATGTGGACACCAACATGATGTGGACACCAACATGGTCCAAGCACACCAAGAGGTCACGACAAAACCTATTCCCCTAAGGAGACAAAGGATTTGGCATGGGTCCTCAGATCCTCAAAAGTTTCTACAACTGCACCATCGAGAGCATCCTGACTGGTTGCATCAATGAATAGTATGGCAACTGCTCGGCCTCTGACCACAATGCACTACAGAGGGTAGTGCGTACAGCCAGGTACAGCACTGGGGCCAAGCTTCCTGCAATCCAGGACCTCTATACCAGGAAATGTCAGAGGAAGACCCTAAAAATTGTCAAAGACTCCAGCCACCTTAGTCATAGACTGTTCTCTATGGTACCGGAGCACCAAGTCTAGGTCCAAAAGGCTTCTTAACAGCTTCAACCCCCAAGCCATAAGACTCATTAACAGCTAATCAAATGGCTACCCAGATTATTTGCATTCCTACTGTTTATTATCTATGCATAGTCACTTTAATAACTCTACCTACATGTACATATTATCTCAATTACCTCGACTAACCGGTGCCCCCGCACATTGACTCGGTACCGGTACCCCCTGTATATAGCCTCGCTATTGTTATTTTACTGCTGCTCTTTAATTAATTTGTTACTTTAAAAAAAATGTTTTAATTCTTTCTTAAAACTGCAATGTTGGTTAACGGCTTGTAAGTAAGCATTTCACTGTAAGGTATTCACCTGTTGTATTCGGCGCATGTGACAAATACAATTTTATTGTATTCCTGATTGTGGTCTCATCAGGGATTATGTGACTCATGATCATATGGAATCAGGAATACCAACACTTTGTCTTTTATTAAATAAATACAAATTACTACAGTAAGTGTTAGCGTTTCATTTTCCCAATTTGAAATGAAACAGAGGCCCCAAAACCGCAATAAATACTAAACTCAGCAAAAAAAGAAACGTCCTCTCACTGACAACTGCGTTTATTTTCAGCAAACTTAACATGTGTAAATATTTGTATGAACACAACAAGATTCAACAACTGAGACATAAACTGAACAGGTTCCACAGACATGTGACTAACAGAAATGGAATAATGTGTCCCTGAACAAAGGGGGGTCAAAATCAAAAGTAACAGTCAGTATCTGGTATAGCCACCAGCTGCATTAAGTACTGCAGTGTATCTCCTCCTCATGGACTGCACCAGATTTGCCAGTTCTTGCAGTGAGATGTTACCACACTCTTCCACCAAGGCGCCTGCAGGTTCCCGGACATTTCTGGGGGGAATGGCCCTAGCCCTCACCCTCCGATCCAACAGGTCCCAGACGTGCTCAATGGGATTGAGATCCGGGCTCTTCGCTGGCCATGGCAGAACACTGACATTCCTGTCTTACAGGAAATCACGCACAGAATGAGCAGTATGGCTGGTGGCATTGTCATGCTGGAGGGTCATGTCAGGATGAACCTGCAGGAAGGGTACCACGAGGGAGGAGGATGTCTTCCCTGTAACGCACAGTGTTGCGATTGCCTGCAATGACAACAAGCTCAGTCCGATGATGCTGTGACACACCGCCCCAGACCCATGACGGACCCTCCACCTCCAAATCAATCACGCTCCAGAGTACAGGCCTTGGTGTAACATTCATTCCTTCGACGATAAACGTGAATACAACCATCACCCCTGGTGAGACAAAACCGCGACCCGTCAGTGAAGAGCACTTTTTTCCAGTCCTGTCTGGTCCAGCGACGGTGGGTTTGTGCCCATAGGCAATGTTGTTGCCGGTGATGTCTGGTGAGGACCTGCCTTACAACAGGCCTATAAGCCCTCAGTCCAGCCTCTCTCAGCCTATTGCGGACAGTCTGAGCACTGATGGAGGGATTGTGCGTTCCTGGTGTAACTCGGGCTGTTGTTGCCATCCTGTACCTGTCCTGCAGGTGTGATGTTCGGATGTACCGATCCTGGGCAGGTATTGTTACACGTGGTCTGCCACTGCGAGGACGATCAGCTGTCTGTCCTGTCTCCCGGTAGCACTGTCTTAGGCATCTCATAGTACGGACATTGCAATTTATTGCCCTGGCCACATCTGCAGTCCTCATGCCTCCTTGCAGCATGCCTAAGGCGCGTTCACGCAGATGAGCAGGGACCCTGCGCATCTTTCTTTTGGTGTTTTTCAGAGTCAGTAGAAAGGCCTCTTTAGTGTCCCAGGTTTTCTTAACTGTGACCTTAATTGCCTACCGTCTGTAAGCGGTCTTAACGACCGTTCCACGGATGCATGTTCATTAATTGTTTATGGTTCATTGAACAAGCATGGGAAACAGTGTTTCAAACCCTTTACAATGAAGATCTGTGAAGTTATTTGGATTTTTACGAATGATCTTTGAGTTTATATACACTATATATACAAAAATGTGGACACCCCTTCAAATTAGTGGAATCGGCCATTTCAGTCACACTCGTTGCTGAGAGGTGTATAAAATCGAGCACAGCCATGCAATCTCCATAGACAATAATTGGCAGTAGAATGGCCTTACTGAAGAGCTCAGTCACTTTCAACGTGGCACCGTCATAGGATGCCACCTTTCCAACAAGTCAGTTCATCAAATTTCTGCCCTGCTAGAGCTGCCCTAGTAAACTGTAAGTGCTGTTGTTGTGAAGTGGAAATGTCTAGGAACAACAACGGCTCAGCCGCGAAGCGGTAGGCCACACAAGCTTACAGAACGGGATCGCCGAGGTTGAAGCGCGTAAAAACCGTCTAAACTCGGTTGCAACACTCACTACAGAGTTAAAAACTGCCTCTGGAAACAACGTCAGCACAATAACTGTTCGTCGGGAGCTTCATAAAAGGGGTTTCCGCACACAAGCCTAAGATCACCATACACAATGTCAAGCGTTGGCTGGAGAGGTGTGAAGCTCACCTCCATTGGACTCTGGAACAGTAGAAATGCGTTCTCTGGAGTGATGAATCACGCTTTACCAACTAGCAGTCCGACAGACAAATCTGGGTTTGGCGGATGCCAGGAGAACACTACCTGCCCGAATGCATAGTGCCAACTGTAAAGTTTGGTGGAGGAGTTATAATGGTCTGGGGCAGTTTATGGTTCGGGCTAGGCTGCTTAGTTCCAATGAAGGGAAATCTTAACGCTTCAGCATCCAATGACATTCTAGATGATTCTGTGCTGACAACTTTGTGGCATAACTTTGGGGAAGGCCCTTTCCTGTTTCAGCATGACAATGCCCCTGTGTACAAAGCAAAGTCCATACAGAAATGGTTTGTCGAGATCGGTGTGGAAGAACTTGACTGGCCTGCACAGAGCCCTGACCTCAACCTCATCGGACACCTTTGGGATGAATTGGAACGAAGACTGCGAGCCAGGCCTAATCGCCCAACATCAGCGCCCAACCTCACTAATGCTCGTGGCTGAATGGAAGCAAGTACTTGTAGCAATGTTCCAACATCCAGCGGAATGCCTTCCCAGAAGTAGTGGAGGCTGTTATAGCAGCAAGGGGGGGGGGGGGGGACAAACTCCGTATTATGCCCATGATTTTGGAATGAGATGTTTGATGAGCAGGCGTCCACATACTTTTGGTCATGTAGTGTATATTGTTTTGTTAAACGGTTATGATGGTTATTTTGTTTCCATGACGGTCTTCATCCATAACCGTCGATTACAGTTATACGGTAATTGTGCCAGCCCTAACAGTAGGTCTTTATTGAAACAACTTGAGGAGAATGTCGAGTACGAAAACTACTGCCTTGAGAGGGACATATTATTCTAGAATGCAGCGGTAGTTTGAGTCTGTCCACATTTGGCAGTATGGAACAACATTTACAAACTGCATAGCCTTGTCAGACACAATATCGTGAACATTTAAGTTAATCCAAACTACTTATTTTGTTCCAAAAACAATCCCCAAATGCACCTACAGGTACCAAAATCTTACCTTTGTATGTTTTTCCAACATCAAATGTGGGACCACGTGCTTTAAAGTACTGAGGGAGAAAAGAACAAGTGGCAGAACTGTAAAACAATAGTGGCGTATTAGGAGCCTACATTATTCAAATCTTGGCTGGCACATACTCTGAAGGTGGGGTAGAAGTGAACGCCAAACTCCTTGCAGATGTCAAAGTTATTCTCTTGAGCACAGTCCAGGACGCCAATCCGTATGGCTTGCTCCCAGTCTGTGAGAGAGAGAGAAAATGGATGTCAGTTGTTGTTACAGGGACAAAGGCGAAGTAAAGCTGACAGCATACTACTTAAAAGACCTTCACTTGAAAAACGAGAAAAAAGCGGCAATAGTACTGTTTGTCCATTTTGAGATGCCATGGCCAGCACACTCTCAAAATAGTCAGAATTAACAATCAATCAATCAATTTTATTTTATATAGCCCTTCGTACATCAGCTAATATCTCGAAGTGCTGTACAGAAACCCAGCCTAAAACCCCAAACAGCTAGTAATGCAGGTGTAGAAGCACGGTGGCTAGGAAAAACTCCCTAGAAAGGCCAAAACCTAGGAAGAAACCTAGAGAGGAACCAGGCTATGAGGGGGTGGCCAGTCCTCTTCTGGCTGTGCCGGGTGGAGGTTATAACAGAACCATGCCAAGATGTTCAAAAATGTTCATAAGTGACAAGCATGGTCAAATAATAATCAGGAATAAATCTCAGTTGGCTTTTCATAGCCGATCATTAAGAGTTGAAAACAGCAGGTCTGGGACAGGTAGGGGTTCCATAACCGCAGGCAGAACAGTTGAAACTGGAATAGCAGCAAGGCCAAAGTAACTCAAGAAATCTGTCATTAATTTCGATGTTTTTGCTGAGTCGCGCAATTTTACATCTAAGATGTGCATGAAAACGAGTCGTCTCTCGTTGGAAGACAACAAAGACTTTATTGAAGAATCCCTACAGTTGACCAATCACTGACGAAGGGGTGTAGACCTCGGCTCCGAACTACGGCTTGCCTCTAGAAAAAAATGTGTCTGCCCAAACAGCCGGAAAAACCGAAGTAAAAAATTAACAGAAACGTCACAAAATGACATCATAATATATGCACGAACTCTTCCGAACTGCCTTTAATGAATTTACATTTACGTAATTTAGTAGACGCTCTTATCCAGAGCGACTTACAAATTGGTGCATTCACCTTATGATAGCCAGTGGGACAACTACTTTACAATTATTTTTCTATATTTTTCAAAAAATGTTATTCTTAATTTTTTGAGAATTTTTTTTGTGAGGGAGGGGTAGGGGGGGGGGGGGGGGTTGAAGGATTACTTTTATACTATCCCAGGTATTCCTTAAAGAGGTAGGGTTTCAAGTGTCTCCGGAAGGTGGTCAGTTTAGTGAAACTAAAGGCAAAAAGTAAATTCTGAAATGGAATACAACCAAGTTCACAGGTCAATCTTATCGCCAATAAATAAGGATTTTGGCGCTGTATAGAAAAAGCCAAATAGAAAGAGTTGCCAGTCAGGCACCCCCCTTTTCCAACAACCAATGACAAAGCGAAAACAGGTTATAATTTTTTGCACACAAAAAAAAGAACCCAAAACAATCTTAAATACCTTGTTTACGTAAGTACTCAGGCCCTTTGCTATGAGACTCAAAATTGAGCTCAGGTGCATCCTGTTTCCATTGATCATCCTTGAGATGTTTCTACAACTTGATTGGAGTCCACCTGTGGTAAATTCAATTGATTGAACATGATTTGGAAAGGCACACATCTGCCCATACAAGGTCCCACAAATTGGCAATGCATGTCAGCGCAAAAACCAAGCCATGAGGTTGAAGGAACTGTCTGTAGAGCTCCGAGACAGGATTGTGTCGAGGTACAGATCTGGGGAAGGGTACCAAAAAATGTCTGCTGCATTGAAGGGCCTCCATCATTCATGCTTCACCGTAGGGATGGTGCCAGGTTTCCTCTAGATGTGAAGCTTGGCATTCAGCCCAAAGAGTTCAATCTTGGTTTCATCAGACCAGAGAATCTTGTTTCTCATGGTCTGAGAGTCTTTAGGTGCCTTTTGGCAAACTCCAAGCGGGTTGTCATGTGCCTTTTTTACTGAGCAGTGGCTTCCGTCTGGCCACTACCATAAACACCTGATTTGGTGGAGTGCTGCAGAGATGGTGTCCTTCTGGAAGTTTCTCCCATCTCCACAGAGGACCTCTAGAGCTCTGTCAGAGTGACCACATCTGGTTCTTGGTCACCTCCCTGACCAAGGCCCTTCTCCCTGATTGCTCAGTCTGGCCGGGCAGCCAGCTCTAGGAAGAGTCTTGGTGGTTCCAAACTTCTTCCATTTAAGAATGATGGAGGCCACTGTGTTCTTGGGGACCTTCAATGCTGCACACATGTTTTGGTAGCCTTCCCCAGACCTGTGCCTCGACACAATCCTGTCCCGGAGCTCTAAGGACAATTCCTTCGACCTCACGGCTTGTTTTTTGCTCTGACATGCACTTTCAACTGCGGGACCTTATATGGACAGCTGTGTGCCTTTCCAAATCATGTCCAATCAATTGAATTTACCACAGGTGGACTCCAATCAAATTGTAGAAACATCTCAAGGATGATCAATGGAAACAGGATGCACCTGAGCTCAATTTCGAGTGTCATAGCAAAGGGTCTGAATACTTATGTAAGTAAGGTGTTTCTTTTTAATTTTTTATAAATGTACAAACATTAAAACATTTTCGCTTTGTCATTATGGGGTATTGTGTGCAGATTGATGAGGAAAAAACAATCCATTTTAGAATAAGGTTGTAACGTAACAAAATGTGGAAAAAGTCAAGGGGTCTGAATACTTTCCGAATGCACTGTACACACAAGTATCCTCCCCTCAGCTCCTCAATAGCTCCTCAATGGCTCCTCAATGTATTTTTAGAAGCTTTTAGTAATTAATTATTTGCCTCGAAAAGCATCCCATTTCCAACCAGAATACCTGTATCCTTCCCATGTATCCCTCTCTACCCCCTCAGTGTTCCTCTGGAGAGGCCTGCCTCGGATTAAATGAGACCGAGGGCAACCCCCCAATACCACCACCTTGTCTCACTGAAGAACAATTTTTTATTTAACCTTTATTTAACCAGATAAGCCAGTTGAGAACAAGTTATTTTACAACTATGACCTGGCCAAGATAAAGCAAAGCAGTGCGATAAAAACAACAAACATATGGAAGTTATATATGGAATAAACAAAACGTACAGTCAATAATGGGGCGGCAGGTAGCTTAGTGGTTAAGAGCATTGTGCCTGTAACCGAAAGGTCGCTGGTTCTAATCCCCGAGCCGACTAGGTGAAAAATATGTCGATGTGCCCTTGAGCAAGACACTTAACCCTAATTGCTCCTGTAAGTCGCTCTGGATAAGAGTGTCTGCTAAATTACTTAAATGTAAATAACACAATAGAAAATCTATATACAGTGTATGCAAATGTAGTAAGTTATGGAGGTAAGGCAATAAATAGGCCATAGTGCAAAATAGTTACAATTTAGTATTAACACTGGAGTGATAGATGTGCAGAACATGATGTGCAAATAGAGATACTGGGGTGCAAATGAGCAAAATAAATAACAATGTAAAAAACAATATGGGGATGAGGTAGTTGGGTGGGCTAATCACAGATGGGCTGTGTACAGGTGCAGTGATCGGTAAGCTGCTCTGACAACTGATGCATAAAGATAGTGAGGGAGATAAGTGTCTCCAGCTTCAGAGATTTTTGCAGTTCGTTCCAGTCATTTGCAGCAGAGAACTGGAAGGAATGGCGGCCAAAGGAGGTGTTGGCTTTGGGGATGACCAGTGAGATATACCTGCTGGAACGCATACTACGGGTGGGTGTTGCTATGGTGACCAATGAGCTAAGATAAGGCAGGGATTTGCCTAGAAGAGATTTATAGATGCCCTGGAGCCAGTGGGTTTGGCGACAAATATGTAGTGAGGGCCAGCAAACGAGAGCGTACAGGTCACAATGGTGGGTAGTATATGGGGCTTTGGTGACAAAACGGATGGCACTGTGATAGACTACATCCAATTTGCTGAGTAGAGTGTTGGAAGCTATTTTGTAAATGACATCGCCGAAGTCAAGGATCGGTAGGATAGTCAGTTTTACGAGGGCATGTTTAGCAGCATGAGTGAAGGAGGCTTTGTTTTGCGAAAGAGGAAGCCGATTCTAGATTTAACTTTGGATTGGAGATGCTTAATGTGAGTCTGGAAGGAGAGTTTACGGTCTAACCAGACACCTAGGTATTTGTAGTTGTCCACATATTCTAAGTCAGACCCGCCGAGAGTAGTGATTCTAGTCGGGCAGGCGGGTGCAAGCAGCGTTCGATTGAAGAGCATGCATTTAGTTTTACTAGCGTTTAAGAGCTGTTGGAGGCCACGGAAGGAGTGTTGTATGGCATTGAAGCTTGTTTGGAGGTTTGTTAACACAGTGTCCAATGAAGGGCCAGATGTATACAAAATGGTGTCGTCTGCATAGAGGTGGATCTGAGAGTCACCAGCAGCAAGAGCGACATCATTGATATACACAGAGAATAGAGTCGGCCCGAGATTTGAACCCTGTGGCACCCCCATAGAGACTGCCAGAGGTCCAGACAACGATGAAGGCAAGACTGAGGAGTACAATTACAGTACCATGATCTAAGAGAGAGGCAACATGAATGAGTAGTGCTGAAGGCAAATGGGTCACGAGAGGAATCACAAACATTTGTATGTGATCATGTAATAGTGTAAAAGACTTAAGAATGTGCCGTAAGCTCAATGTGGCGCGCTAAAAAAAAAAAAAAATGTGGCGCTAGCCTATGTCAATGTGGACGGTCATGTGTGTTTTGAGAGCAGAGGAGTTAATTTGGGATCTATCGCATCCCACAACTGTCCCAGACTATGTTTGGAATATTTATTTCTCGCACAGAATAAGTAAACTTTTGTAATATGGGTATAGTAGATTGACATAGGCTAGCGCTTTTGCTGTTCGTTAGGCCTACTCATCTTGTTGGCTGACGAAAAGTAAATGTGGACAGTTTTCAATATCTTCAATATGCACCTCGGAATTGGATAAGGACACGCGCAGTTGTGTCCCCGATGGTGTCTGTCTTCACTTGTAGCCTGTGAGAAAGACTCGATCATTTGATGGGGAGCCATGTGAGTGAGAGGTGCTTCGGAGCACGCAGCACTCAGGGAGAAGGGAATTATAATTATTATATTCGGCCACTGGCCGCAAAAGGCATGGA